GGGTCCAGTGTCAAATCTGCAGTGTGTGTCTGCAGGTCCCGCACGGCAACGGTTCACTTATCCCCCTGCCACCCCACATATGTTTGGGACATGGAACAGTTGGACGTGGCCGAGGGCTAAAATGGGTCAGACTGACACAGATGGAGAAGAAAGTCCCACTGGGTCACTGTCAGATGACTAACACCCGGAGAAAAAAAGGTGAGAACGTGCGTGTGTGTGCGTGCGTACGAGTGGTCAAGGGAGGTTTTGACGGATTTTAACAGCTTGAAACAAGGCTGAAAAAAAGCACAAACACGTTCGGAGTTTGAACTGGGCCATGCAGCTCTTAAGAAACTGAGAACAGAGCGTGAACTTTGCCAAAAGCATGAAAATCGAAAGAATATCGAGGCTTTCATTTGACTTCTCCTTCATTTTACCTCTTGTATTAATGGAACCAATACATGGTCAAAAACGTCCTGTTGTCATCCATAACTATAGTGTTGACATTTGGGGCAGAATGAAATCTCGGGGTGTGCCATGAAAGGGGGGTTGGACAGAGAAAACTTCAGCTGGGAGTGCATTGAGAAGAGTGTGACAAGCCTGAGTGGGCTGAGAGCAGTTGGCATTTAATGCATTTCAGAGATTAATCTGAATCATCCAGACCAGGACAAAAAACATCGCCACATAAAACTGCCTGTCATCTCAGACTTTGAAAGCAAGACGTAACAAATTAAATCCTTGTGAGAGATCCTCATGATAATGCCAAAAGCAATTTTCTTTCCAAAGTGGAGGTAATCTTCAAACAGAACTGCTCGCAAGTCCATTGTGTCACAGCTAAGATGTCTTCAAAATGCTTCCTTGTCAAAAACTTTATTAAAAAAGGAATGTAGGGAGGTAATGGAACGGTTAAAAGTCTACATTTTCATTTGTTCATTGTGAAAAATGGGAGGGAAATTCCTTTCAGGAAAATCTTGCGTTTTGAGCTGACTGTCAGGGCGATTTGCCAGACATTTCTGCGGTATACCTCTGTGGATTTAAGGCTTTGAAATCACTAGTCTTTAGCAATTAACATCCAGTTGTTCATCTATCAATTCTCTGCATCCTACTTTTAAAAACACGAAGAGTCATTGCAAAGCAGATCTTTCACCTCAAACAAACCGCTCCATCACACGAGGAAGAAGTCCCTGTGTGGAGAACATGTGGGTGGCATGTGTTCTCCTCGGCACTCGTATGTTTACAGTGAATCTGTTGGATGAAAGTCAAGTTTGCAGCTGCAGCCTTGGAATAATTCATCGCTCGCCTTTTTACCCAGGAGGAGCCACAGGTAGTTGATGAAGTGGCAGTGCCAAGACTCCCAACTGGCGAAGACGAAGCGCAGCTGCCAGGAGTCAGCGTGGCCAGATGCCGCTGCTGATGTACCATGTGTTCCAAGCAGGGCAACAGTGTGTTTGTGTGTGAGCTGAGGTGGGAGGGGAGAGAATGGAGCGCTTGCCAAGACTTTCGCACATCGATGCCAACCTGACACATGCTTGGGTACTCCCCACGGTTTGCGTTACCCTATCAGCCGCTCTCACGGACCTGTGGGGGGTCCGCTTTTTTCTCTTTTTCTCGGATGCGGTACGATGCCAAGATGGGAGTTGGCGCCTGCTTGCGGCCATCCTGCCCATCAGTGGTGAAACTGTTTCGGGTGGTATTTTCCAATCACTGCGCTGGCAGCAGGCCACTGCAGCAGAATGCTAGTTTCTACTTACTTACTCTTCTTACCATCTTTTTGCTATAATTTAAACCATGTGTCCTTCTGAGAGCACTGCTTCCTCCTTTCATGGCACAAAGACATGGATATGATGCTCTTTTTGTTTTGATCCTCCACGCTTGATCCAGCCTTGCATTTCCTAAATGTAAGTAAGTCCCCGACAGGCTTAGATTCCAGTTCGCATATGAAAGAAATGGCCAGCTTCCAGGAAACAAATCCGACACTTCGAGTTGTCTATGCCTTTCCGATATGACATTCGGTCATTCTTCAGTTACATCCATAAAAAAGCATGGCAAATGTATTTGCATTAAAAAACCACGAACAGTGAAAATGCCCCAATGAATGAAAGATTTTGTAAAAATGACATAGTCACGGGGGCAGCAACAGCATTCTCATCAAACAGCGTTTTACCTACGAATAGGAACGAATGGTCTTTGACGATACTATTCCTGGGAGTGGAGGGGAGTTCTCTGAAACAAAGGCTCAAATTTTGTTAGGAACATGCCATCCTCATCTACAGTGTAGGGGGTTTAGGGAGGGAAGTGAAAACTTTTTGAACGTGTGCCATGTCTGTACCATTCTCTTATCTAAGGCCCACGACTGCCAGCTGGCGGTAGAATGTGCCCACTTGCACTGTGATGATAGAGCCAGCCAAGCTAGTTGGCACACGAAGTGGAAGGACTGGCATGCAATCTGAAGGCAAACATGGCACCATGTGTGGTAACTGCATATGTACCGCACTGCCCCCGCCCCACTCCCATCCTCCAGTCTATTGAGAAGTCTCTCCAGTGGATCCACAGGTTTTTGAAAATTATCCGATTGACAAGATTATAGGTAACAGCAGAAGTCAAGCAAGAAAATCTGTTGGTTTAAACAGTAGCCTGAAATAAGCAGCCTGTAACAAAACAGCTTTTTTCTTTGTTTTATTAAAAACTTTTTTTTTCTCTTTAGACAAAACCACATTATTTACAATATTCAACCCCCACCACCCTAAACCATTCATTAGTGGAGCTAGGCACTGGTTTTTAGATATCTCTCTTACCTGTTCAATGTGGATCTTAATTGACTCTCCAGTTTCCATCTGTGCAAAATCCTATTATTTTAGTTCATGCCCAACGATAACCCTATTTTTCTTCTTATTTTAAAGTCTTTTTTCAGTTCAGAATTTTTTCCTTCTTTTTAAATGTTTTTTTCAGTTTCAATTTGCGTTTTCATTTTTGGATTTTTCTACAGTGTTTCAGTTGTATCTTTTTCTTTGTATTCTTTATTTTTGTCAGATGTAGTTTTCAGGTAATTTCACCCCTTATTTATGGATCTTTTTTCGACTGTCAAATTTTTCTGTCCATTCCAGATTCTTTTTGTGGAACTTTTAAATATATTTTTAGTTTTACATTGTCATTAAAATAACATATACTATTACCATGTTCTCCAACCACAGGGCTAACTTTTAGTCCCATTTAAGTTACTCATTATCATTTCAGTGGTGTGTGTTAATGGGACAGTAGTTGGGTCATATTGCGTGTGCGTTTATTTAATTTATTCCATGAACCAGTGTATCCAATGTTTCCTTTAAGCACGCTGCCTAACAAGCATTCTGGGAAATGAAGTTGTCATTTCTCTGAGCTCAGGAGCCAACAGGAGCCACCTCTCGCTTTTCATCTAATCAGTCTCATCAAAGTCATGTGCGCAGCCTTTCATTTTGGAGGCGACCCACAGTTATGCTAACGGGAGCTATTTCAAAACACGCGACTCCTCTGACGTCCATTTTCCAGGCTAAAATCTCCTACTTACTGCTTAAAATCAACAATTTGATGTTAATGAGAGCAAATAACAAAATCAAACAAAAGAAAAAACGAACAACTAAACAAAAAAAACCCACTTAGAATTAAATATTTAAGAAAAACGTGAAAGATACTTACAAAAGACAGTTTAAAGTTGTTCATATACCACTTATTTAAATCGCTCAAAGCGAGTGGGACGAGTTAATAGCAAAAAAACGTACGGAAAAAAAATATGATCAATGTACAATTACAACCAAATTATTCTTCTGAAGCGTCCTTCTTCGCAAAAGACCGGTTTGAAAACGGAGGAATCTTTGTGTCTGTTAGTGTTTCACATCGGGTGATTAATCCCGCTGCACCGTCCTTCACTACAAGCAGTACCGGTGTTATTGGTAAGGTGAATATGAAGTACTTTAAACAACAACCTGAGTTTCCAGGCGTTTATTGAAGAGCTTAATCGCATTGTTTTCAAAGGATATTATTTACTTATTTTTTCGTTGGAAGAAGAATTTTATTTTACGGGTCTTGACAGATTACGGGGCAGTTGTGTTAATTGTGTTAGTTACAAAAACAAAAAATAGAAAGTTTCCTTAGCAGACCAAGTTCTCTGGACTAAAATTAAAAACAGCTGTACTGTAGATTGGGTTGTCTGACTATGGCTGACTCAAAAGAACCCATAAAGTGTTTGAGGGTCTAATTTAAAGACATTTTATTACATCTAATACATTAGAAGATGGTATTTTGTGGTGCTTAAATGCATAATTTCTTCAAGTGCAGGGTTAAGATTCCAAATTTGATGTTTTATAGATCAAATTATGACCGCAGATCAACTAGAATATTGATTTGCTGTGTGCAAGTAGTTGTAAAAGTCTTAGTTGACTGATGGAAAATATTGAATATTATATCTAAAGATATTTAATCCCGGGTTATTGTCTTAAAGAATGTTTTTAAGCATTGAATATGACAAGCATTTTTTTTTTAGATGATGAAATATGTTGAATGTCAAACCTCACCAGAAGCTTTGCACCAATGCCCCAGAATTTCAGTTATCTGAAGACTTGAGTATCAAGAACACACATCCGCACACAAATCTTTGTATTTTTCTGGGGTTCATTTAGCTATGTTTTTACTCTGTTTGTTTTCGTGTACAACTTAATCTTGTTCCCACCAATGATCCAGTATTAGTTTCAGCAACTGTCATTAAATGATGAATACCATTTTAAATAATTCGAACTGTAAAAAGAATCGTGCTACATGAAGATGATGGGGGAGTATAGAGAAGACTGTGATGATGCTCACATAAGTCACATGTTCATCAAATGTTTTCCTTTTATGACAATCTTTGATTTTCACAAGATGAAACTCAGCTCAGATGTGTTTTTCTTTACCTCAGGTTCATATTGGCATGACTGGATGGAGGAAAACAAAGTCTGAGCCATTTTTTGGTATTCTAACACTGGAGGGTAATGAACCGCTGAGCGTCAGACATGCAGTCAGGACTTGTTGCCTCTGCCGGCCGCTCTCTTAAGAGAACTTTTCAGCACTGGAAAGCCTCTTTCAATGGAACCTATTGCCCCTTACACCCTGGGCAGTGGCTTTGGGCAGCTCAACAAAGAGCTCATAGATGGACTACAGTACCACCATCGTCAGGAATAAACAAGAAGCCTGTGTTCACCAAAGCTCTAGAATTTGGAGAAAAACTTGCAATCATAGACTCCAGTGGCAGACACAGCTACGAGCAGCTGTACCGCAGCAGCTTAGGTCTCGCTAGTAGAATCAGTGTGGCTCTTCAGTCGGACTTTGGCGGTCTGGATGGAAAGCGAATCTCCTTTTTGTGTGAAAACGATGCTTCCTACACCATTGCGCAATGGGCTGCCTGGATGAGTGGCGGCACCGCGGTGCCACTCTATCGAAAACACCCCGTGTCTGAGCTGGAGTACATCGTCTCCGATTCCCAGAGTTCACTGCTGATAGCAGCACATCCCTACGCTGAGACTCTGGAGCCACTGGCACAAAAATTGAGATTGCCATGCCTGACAATGCCTCCCACTTCTAACTTGGAGGCCTTGGAGACCGAGACAAATGAAAAGGAAACCACTATTACAGACTGGGCTGATCGACCGGCAATGATCATCTACACCAGTGGTACCACAGGAAGACCCAAAGGGGTTCTGCATACACACAGCAGCATCCAGGCCATGGTAAATGAGTACCTTTTTTTTTAACTTTTTTATAATTAGGATGAAATAAGAGGACTATTGTTTTTAACTGCTTTCTTCTTTTGATGTACACTTTTGGGCTTGATCGATGAGTAAATATAGTAAAAGTAATTCATAAATACAAACAAATGAAGAACTTTTCTTCAATCAAAATAATTTAATAAAAATCATTGCACAGCATCATCAGCACCAAAAAGACTTTTGTATAGTGAAATTAAAAAGTACAGATAAGGAAAGAACAGTTCCAATCCACCATCTTTGGTGCAACTTTGATTCCTCACAGAATATGTAATTCACTTGACATGGCTTGATTAACTAAAGCAGCTTGATCTGAGCGCATTGAATAGGTGTGAGTTATTTGAAGTATTCACAGCGCCCAACATAAGAGAACTGTATGAAAGCGCCAGTTAAATTTTTCAAATAACCAAACACTTAAAAAAGTTAGAATGCAATTTTCAAAGATCTCAAAACTAAATGTCGGGTACCTTGTAAAAGATGTCTATACACCTCAAGGATAAACTTGAATGGTGTCGGTGAATACTGGCTCAATCTCTTCAGGCAGAAAGACCGATGTTTGAAAGACAAAAAAAAAAAACTTCAAAAGAAAGTGCTGATAATATTTTGCAGTAAGTGGAGCTCTTTAGTGAGTATGTGTGAGAAGCATGCTTTCCAGAGCAGACCGCCTCCAGTAAAACATGTGGCTGGTTCTCTCCTGCTGTGGGGCTGCTGTGCCACTACACTGACTCAGTGCCCATAAAACTGGAATCTGTCTACCGAGGCAAAAGTGAAGGTGAGACTTTGACCTATAACTCTGGAACAGTTTCAGAACCTACCAAAGCTGTGTAATGCCAAATGTTGAAACTGTCATCTTAATAATAGATTCAGAGTCTGTGTTTTTACTCTATCAAATGGTTTTATTCTTGCTGTAATTTATAATGAAGTATGCTTTATTTATATTTATATATATATAGAGAGAGAGAGACATATAGATAGATAGCCCGCTGTTCATAAATGTGTTTATCAATTCTTCAGTTATTTTAAATCATCTCCAAACATTTCAGGGTCGACAAAGTCTCTGACCAAGACTGTGGAAGGAGATGCTGCAGATTGTGTTAAAACTGTGTGATGTGCAGGCTCTCCGTGAACCTGCAGTATACTTTTTGTAAATGTTAAACCATCACGACTGCCAAATATGAAACTATTTCAGAGTTTTCTACTAGTTCATGAAAAAAAAAATTACTCATATCACAGGCATGGGGGATCGGGAGTGTTTGGGGATGAAGGCATGCAGTGTGTGGTTCCATCATGTGATGCCCGCATGGTAACAGGAACGTGTTGTACATATTTGGTTTTAGCTGCAGAGTGGTTCTGTTTTTTCTTTTTCTTTTTTACTCTGCAGAGCAAGTAAAACTTCAGCTGCGACCTGTCCTGTACATCTGGTTTTTTATCGTACTCAAATAATTGAACTGTTCTAAGTTAATTTGTTGGTGATAGCCTAAATATTAAAGTCAACATTTTTTATGCTGACAAATAGTACTTTCCTCTTATGTTTAGTCTCTCTACTAGATGTGTCGAGTGCAGCCACTCACTGTGTGTACTATCTGATCACCACAGACCCACAAAATGTTTTGGAAATCGCATGCATGTTTTCGGCCCCATATCGGCATCATTAGTTTCTATTTACCATTAAAGCCTGCTTTGAAGATTTCTCTGAATATTTTCAAATGAAATTGACCCACATGTCCAATAGCGTGGAAAACTAAATCACTCTGAAATTAAGCAGAGCTTCAATTTTCAGTGAAAGGGCGGAGCGGAGTGGAGAGGGGAGGGAGGGGAGCATTTAGCGGGACCGTTGATTTCCTGAAAATGAAAAGCATCAGATTCTCTGAGCTCTGGGAAATTACTGCTGCCAAGTTGATTTAAATGAAGATATATCGGTTTAAGTGTATGTTGGGCATCAACATGCATTCCAGCATTGCGGTTGCATTTCCCAGAATCAGTGGAATCTGTAAGAATCTGTACATCCATTCCTACTCTGTATATTGTTTCTTTAGCTTTGCACAAACAGACAGAAATTCATGGCAGCATCTTCCAGTCTAACTACTGTGTTGTGCTGCACAGATATCAGAACTCTTCTCACGCATGCCAAACTGAACTCCATCAATAATCCACTGTGATGTTCCATTTTGCAGCTAGGACCAGAATTTTCTTTTTTTTCCCTGGCCCAGTATCTCAGTTTACTGGTAAATGTAATCTGACAGTGAGAGCTTTCCAGGCATCTTGTCATCACCAAATCTAATTTTATCAACTAAGTTAAACTTCATTGAAACATTTCCAAATGAGACGTTTTTTCCTCATCCGAAACCTTTCATTTGAGCTCTACGAGGAAAATTGAATTTACTTGTCTCATCTAGAATACTTTCACTTTGAAATTCCTTATTCCTGAAATTGATGTATTGATTTTTTGTGTGAAACTGTTTACTAATCCACTATGTGCAACTCAGGACTTGAACAGAGTGCAGCCACTGATTTGGCCTTGAAAATATTCTACTGTCTGGTTTGATTTATGTTACAGAAATTGAACGCTTACTATTCTATTTCTTTTTAAGTTACAATTGGAATATGATGTATATGATAGGTTAATTAACACATCTTGAAATTTTTTTTTTTTTTTTTTTTTTTTTTAACTCTTGAATACAACTAAACTCATATTCACACTTTTTTGTCTCTTGTCTTATTTGTTATTTGGGATCCTCCCAACTCAAAGCTGATTGGGGATTAATAGGAGCAAATTCCTGTATTTTAACATGCTGACCTAAGTGTTCCATCCTTCCCTTTTTAGGTCCAGTGTTTGGTTTCGGAGTGGGCGTGGTCCAAGGATGACGTCATTCTCCACACCTTGCCACTCCACCACGTGCACGGCATCGTTAACAAGCTGCTGTGCCCGCTCTCCATGGGCGCCACCTGCATCATGCTTCCCGAATTCCAGCCTCAAAAGGTCTACAATTAGCTAATTTTGTTATTTGATTTTTCTCTCAGTCCCCCATTTTTTATCACCGTCCCTGAACCCAAGAGACTCCATGCATTAGGACGGCTCCGGAGGCTGCTAGGCTGACAACGAGAATAAGAAGTATTTCAGGTTTAGAGGCCTTGCATAGACAAGGTCCTGCTGGCTTGAAAAAGACCTGCGGCTGTTTCCACATCAATCCTTTTCCCTCTGTCACCCTCAGCTTTTTCCTCCAGTCCTTTTTCTTTTTCCTCTCCTTTTCTCACTTCATCTTCCCCACCTCTCGCCCTCTATCAGGCTCCCCTCCTTTTCTTCTCCCTTCCTGACTGTCAAATTAAGTGTTTGGGGCTCAGTGATGAATTGCCCCGTGTGGCTTTGTATCTGACCAATGCCGACTCACGGCAGGGGCTTAAGCAGCAGATCAATCGATGAGCTGACATTGAAGGATGATAGTGGTTGTTCGGCCCTGGAAAGGGGCGGGAGTGGGGCTCTTCTCCTGTGTAGGTGTGGCATCAAATGACAGTGGATGCACCTTTTTCCCAGTGCGCGTGCGTTTCTTGCCCTCTGTATGTGTGGAACTCGGTGAAAGTAGACAGAAAAGGAAAATGTCCTTAAAAGACAAGCCTATCTGTCAACAAAATCATAGAAATCAGTATTCAGCTGTTATCCTTGACCTTGAATACCAATCTTCCAAGCACCTTCTCTTGAAACATTAGAAAAAAAGACCTCTTTCTCCTTCTGAAGTTGCAGAACATTGATGAAGCGATCAATAGAATGTCTTCTATCACGTAACATCTCTGAAGGGTAGTCCATGCAGCAGAGTCTAGGCATTGATTTTTGCCTGATTTTGCCTGGAGATAATCACAGAATTTCTCAGAGCAGGAGTTGTGATCTGGCAGATCACAGAACAGTTTATTTCCAGCGTACCGTTACACAACAGCTTAAGATGCTCTGCGAGCGTTTACAAAAAGCCACTCAGAATTTATCGGTTTGAATCTCTGCTGACAAGTTGACCAGCGCAACTACTAAAATTTGATATGAATTTGTAGCTGATCTATGTCAGCTATCTAAGATGATCTAGATGCCAGTAAGTGTTTTTGGGAGGCAAAGAAATTAGTTTAAATTTCAGGATTTAGCAACGTTAAAGGTCTTTGAGGAAGGGAAAAAAAGCTATATTTAAAAACTCCACAATTAACATTTTATACATATTTGGGCGTCGGGTCCTTCCTCTTAGGATGTGGCCTTATTACTGGCATAAATTGGACGTAAAAGAACAGTATTGGTCAGAGGGTCACAAAACACGTAGAGTGAAAGGAAGTGATTGTAGTTAGTCTTTCTGAAGCGAAAACACAGACACATTGAGTAAACGGAGGATCACACCATTCGAGAGCAAGCAACTGTAAATGGGTTGACCTTGTCACAAGAAGTGAAAACATGAAGTAAAATTGGTTTGTCTCTTCCCGCCTGGAAATCCCTGACAAACAAAGACCTTTGGAGTGATGTTGAAATAGCCCGACAGGTATACATGTATACAGATGCAGTTTGTTAGTAGATAGTTAGTGGATGGCATTTCAGATGGTTATTTTCATCTGAAGTCACTGTAATGAAGGATTCCAGCTCTCTAATTCCAGGGCAAACTGATGTCTCCAACATTTGAAGTTGAATCATTGATGGGACGTTGGCGATTCCATCTAACAACTGTCACATTGGAATCATATGCATTTCTAAGTTATATTTGTATGACCAGGGACTGAATTTGACTGATTTTGGTCATATCCTTACGTATCCTCTTTTGCCATAAGCAAACAATTGTGTTTATCCAGTCAAAGAAAGATTTATTTATGCTGTTACCTTTAAATCTGGAGTGATGTCCTCACATGGTACCACATAGGCAGAACAAACACAGTAAACCACTTTAATCCTGTAATTCTAACTTTTCTATTAACAAAACTGAATAACAAGCCTTAAAATAATGGAAAATATTGGAAAAGCGTTGCACACCTGAAAGGGGAAACTTTCTTTTTCCAAAGTGAACTTTTCAGTTTTCCCGTGTACTTACACACCGACGTCCAGATGTGTTGGAGTCCCGTGTAGAGTGCAGGGCTGAGCACTTCATGAAGTTGTTTAGGATGCAGGCTATTGCTCGGGGGTTTTCACCACATCTTGTCCCCTAGGTGGAGAGCAGCTCTTTGACAGACATAAATTGCCTTCCTCTCCCCTCCAGAGTGAACTTGGTGGAAGCGCTCCACTGCACTTGATGGACACCACCCAGAGTGGTCAGGGTACAGTCAGTTAATAATGCTTTGCACAACGTCTGATTTTGTATTCTTACAGGAGATCTCTAGATGCCCACCATTTTGAGATACATTAAAATGGAATCTGGGTGCACATTTTATCATCTCAAGTTTATTTTTAGAGGCAGAGGAGGAGTGTTTAGTATATAATGGATTCTATTATTCGGGGATGAGGTCAAGCGAAGGAAAAGTGGAAGTTTAGAAATTGCAGTCACATTAAGAAGGATGCTTCCTCGCTAATGTTGGGAGTGATGACGGGAGAAGCGGCATTTTTCTGCGTGCATGCATCAACGTACGTGTGTCTGCGCGAGCAGGCGAGAGAGCAGAGGCAGCGGAGCAAGAAATTGCAAAATTGAGAGAGAAGGTATGTGAATGTGAGATGGGGAAGAGATGAGAGGAGAGGGAGAAGAAAGATGAAGGACAGATATGGGGTCAGAGATAAGAGAAGAAAACAAAAAAAAGGGAGGTGTTTGGCAAGAAAGGTAGACTGAACAGAGGGGTGGGGTTGGGCGGGGGGACTGGTCATGGAGAAGCAGTCATTCACCTTCACTTAATTCATGCTGTCCTCCCAACATCCACTGCTGGATACCCAGACCCTGTGTGTGTGTGTGTTAATGTGTGTGTGTGAGGGATGAGGAGGAGGAGTGGGTGGGGTGGAGTGTGTGTGTGTGAAATGTTTTTGTCCTTGAACAAGTGAGTTTATGTGATATTCAAAAGGTATTTTATATGTGGGTGCGCTTCACAAGCATGTTTACTTCCTCGCTCGGAGTAATGATCGGAGCATCTCTAAAATAACTGATGTCAGGAGTGGAGATAAATAGAGAGAGAGAAAATATGAAAGAGTATTCATTCTGCAAGAAAGTAATAACCCCCCCCCCTACACTTCACAGTGCAGCACAGACCTCATACAAAGAACGAGCAGTTCAGTTTTTTTCTTTTAAAACAATGACACCAATGTCTTGTTTTCAAATTTACTTAAGTGACCGACAAGTCTGTGCAAAACTCTGAAGTCCTTACTTTCCTTTATGGAAGTCACTAAAGAAAATGGAAATGGGAGAAGCTGATTTCTAGCACACAGACAAAAAGTACATAATGTAAACCATATACAAAGTTAACACATTTCCGACCAGCCAACCCATAAACATTTGTTATGGCCGCCCTTATTGTTCAGAATAGATTTAAACTCTTAATTAAGCTTTCTTGTGATTTATTTAAACTATCTTCAGGTATGTTCTGCAGGCTTATTGAAAACCTGTTGCCCTTTTACCCTAATGGCTTCTTGACCGCCTGACCATTTCTGAGATATCTCTCAGGTATATCTCATCAGATCTTGGCCAGATTGTTTTTTTTTTTTCATGTAAATTTTTTTTTCTCCATTTATTCATTCTCCTCCATTTTAAAGGAAATGCTTCACACCATGCCGACCCGGCACAACTGCGGTGCTCTAGGCTCACTCGCTATGCTTTCATGAGAGAGCTCAAAATGTTGTTAACGTGATTCAATTCAGTCACCAAATGATTAGCCTGACCTTAAAAAATAGGGCCACCTAAAAAATAAATAATAAAGAAAAGAAAATAAACAAAAGAAGAGGCACACCTCAGGTTTTGATAGCATCAAGATAAAAAATTATGCATATTACGGTGGTCCCAACAGACATAGCTAACAGTTGTCAGCTCTACCGGATGCCATTATTTTAATGAGGTTAGCCGTACTGACTTTCACGAAAATAACATGCCGTTTGTTTGGCTGATTTATCATAGATAGTACTGAATGGATTAAAATACTTCTTTTGAAATAGTCATATATTTGAACCACTAAATTGGAGGCCCAGCCATTAAAAAACATGTTTAGGCCTCTTAACTGAGCATTTTTGGAGCTCTTCCCTGTTTTCCTCCTCCTAACCGTTTTTTTCCTCGTCTTGTCTTTTGTGTCTGTACCACAAATGAACTGAATCTGGATGTAGTCATTCAGGTTTTAATGCCCTTCTGTTAAATAGGCCACTCTGTAATATGCTGTGCTCGTGTCCCTGTCCCTCTCTGTCCGTCTGTGTGTTCCCAGGTGTGGGAGATGCTGTTGACCTCCAAGGCTCCAATGGTTAATCTGTTCATGGCTGTGCCAACCATTTATTCCAAACTGATCCAGTACTATGATCAGCACTTCACACAGCCACATGTGAAGGACTTTGTCAAAGCCGTCTGCAGAGAAAGAATCAGGTATTGGTACTTTTCTAGCTAGTCCAAAGAAGGCTGCCTTTCTGCGTCTTGCTGTTTCTCTCCGTGGGTGTATATGCCAGTCTTAACCTTTTGTCGATGCAATGAATAAATTTGTTCACTGACGGTGTTTTTTGTAGAGTTGTTCCCGAGCCCATGCAGTGATTTCCTCAGCACAATGGTTAATGTTTTTTTGTACAATTCTTTCTTGGGTTTTTTAGCCCTGCGTGCAGGCAGAAATTTCACCGGTTCATGGGTTGATGATTGAGTAGATTTTATATGAGATGTCAAGTTCTTTGCAATTTGATGTTGGAATGTTGTCAAATATTTGTCACAATCTTTCACAGAATGGCCAGTCCCTCTTTTCACCTATTTAACTCTTTATTTAAAAAAGTTTTTATATAAATTGTGCTAGCTTTTTTTTAAGCTAATTATCAGAATTTGAAATCATCACATCACGTCTTTCATTTACTTTTTTATACGTTTTAGCGCGAGCAACCCAACATTTCTTTAAATATTGGCAAATAATATAATCTTACAATCAAATAGAATATGCAGTAAAGATTAAATATTATTGTATGAAAAGTAAGCAAGAGCTGATACAGATTTCTGTTTTTCTTCATTTTTTTAAGGATATCCCTTACAGACGGTGTTTAATATGCTTTAGAGTTGCTTTTTAATATATATTTTTTAGACCTGAGACCTTATGTCCTCCACATAACTGTTCCCTCATATTTTTTAATGACAAACTTTGTTCTTTGTCCAAGTGAATATTGGCGAAAAGAAAAAAAAAAATCCCACAAATGTCCATCAGAAAGCCTAGAGAACTATTGCTCAACACCATATTTATAAGTCTGAGAGGATGACTATTTTACACATATGTGTGGACACACCTGTGCATTTGTGAATGATTCTAATTATTAATGAATATTTAAAGAAACATTTCTAAGGTGATTACATGCAGAGCTCAAAGCTCTTTTGGTGCAGGATGATGTTTAGTGTGTACTTACCCAACTTTTATATCTGAGGTTTAAGTAGAGCTCAATCAAAACGCACCATAAGGAAACTGTGTCCCCACAAAACAAGCGTACAGCTGCTTTTACCGGCAGTCATTTTTACACTCGGTTTCTTTGCAGCCGGACTGAAGCTCTTTTTGTGATGGGCTGTTAACTAATATGCTTGTGCTGCTTTTTCCTCAATTTGTGACCACACTGGCATAAAGTTACAGAACAGATTTTTCCTCATCCCGGTTTTTTCCCCAAATTTTTTTTTTTACTGTATTTCTTTAATGAATGTGCCTGGATTCTGCGTTTAAAATTTTTTTTTTTTTTAGCATTTCTTTAACAGTATCGTATCCCATGGAAAAGCCTGTTGTAGAATAAATGTGTTCCTACGTGCAGACTGTCAGGAAACCTCTGTATTGTAGATGAATGCACATGTGTCATGGCAAACAAAGGAATAGCATTTCTAACTGTCAGGCGGCTTTGGAGTGTTTCGTGTAAGTTTTATTGACATGAATAAGAAAAGAGTGCTGGATGTGTTAATTGGAGCGTTTCCCTGACGTCTCTCCATCTCTGCTCAGGCTGATGGTCTCAGGCTCAGCCGCTCTCCCTCTGCCCACTCTGCAGCGCTGGGAAGAGATCACAGGACACGTGCTGCTGGAACGCTACGGAATGACCGAGATCGGCATGGCTCTGTCCAACCCTCTAAAGGGCCCCCGAATCCCAGGTACACACCCGCTCCCACTTTTAACCCTTTTTACTCTGACGGAAAACTATCCACTGTTCATCGACAGCTTGGTCTGCTTCTTTGTGACTTGTGGTGAGGTCACAAGCTGGCTGAATATCAATGTCAAGAAATTAAACTTTATGAATATCTAAAAGGAAAAACAGCTTTAACATTAACATCTGCAATTAGCCAAAACAAGGGTAACATTTTCTTCATTCTGCTTTGCTGTGAGTCCTTCAACCTTTTATCAGTGTATTGGTCAGTCCTAGTTTCACCACTTATTAAAGTTTGATTCAGAATTGAACCCTTCTGGTGGTTTGAAGCAACCAACGTAGGTTAATTAAATCTAGAAGTTTGCTGTCGACATGCTGACGTGAAAGGCTGCAGGAGAAAAACAATTACACAACACATCCTCTTTTTTTTCCCTGTTGCAGTTGTGCAGTAATTAAGCCTTACATGTTGTTGGCAGGAAACGCGCAGAAAGCACAGAAGGCTTCAGCTGAGACGACTGAAACTGAAAGTATCTCAGCAGAGCAGATGCTTGGCTTTTTCTCTCTGCTACTTTCAAAGATGAAGCTTGTAGAGCAGCTGATAATAGCACAACCCATTAAGGTGGTTCTGCTGATTTGGTGAAATCAGCGAGCTGTCTTATCAAACTGGAGCAGATTTGACTAGAAATTTTTCATCTGGGCTGAATAATCATTATTTCAACATAAAGTAATTATGATAAAATCCCTGTGCTTCAGTCTTTTGCACTGTTAAATTTATCTCAAAAATACTTCTCAGCAGTTCTGCAAAAGTGCCTAAAAAGTGTCAATTTTGGCTCGCATTAATACCCAAGTTCACAGCAAGGAGCATAGCACAGATTTGTTAACATTCAGCCCCGTGCCGCAGCATGTGAAAATGGATGGAACCACGCACTTTCACTCAGAAAAACAGACTAATTTTAGCCTGTTGGAACATTTTTCTTAGTGGATACACACGATACTTTGAACTTGAGCTTACAAGGCTTTGATAACTTAGTTGACATACAAAGAAGAAGACTCAGCAACTGGCCATCAGACTGCTAAACTCACTGAACACAAGAACATAACCCGCCAGCCCCCCCACGCACATATATGCACCAAGACCAAACTACTTGAATTCCTTGGAGAAAAATAGTTTACATCCTATTCATGTCCATGCTGCTACTCTTCACGTAAATTGCACATGTTTTGGTGTCTGCTGAACTCACTATTTTTTGCATTCAAGTAACCTACTCAACTGACCATTTTCTGAACACTGGACAGTCTGAACAATGGAGGCTCGCTGTTGTCCATTTGCTGTGTTGACTGTTGTTTTGTTTATTGCTACATTGGTGACTGTGAGCACTGCACAGGTTTAACCATTCTTCTGTCTCTTATTGACTTTATTGGTCTGAAATGGTCTTTAATTTAGTTTCTTTTTACGTATAAAACATGGAAATCGATTTTCACTAGATTAAGTAAATATTCTTTTCTGCCCCATTAAGTCTAACAAAGAGTCCCAGTCATGTTAATATGACTGTTTTTAGTGCTTGTAGTGTGTTTTTAGTGTTTGTATTGTTTTTTTTTGAAGATCCATCAGTAATGAGGCTCTTGCACCCCCTTAGTGCCGCCTGTGCGTCAGTTGTTTAGAAAATGTTTCCTCTAGCTGTGAAGGAAATATTGATTCTCCAGAGAACATTAAATGGGCACATTAAATATCATCAGCTCGGAAATTGTAAAGATAGCACCTCCCTCACAGGTTCGCTTGAAGGCAATGTGAGCAACGTGAGAAGATTTCTCTGTTGTCATGGCAAGAAAAACCTCCCAATCACGCAGAAACAAAGACAAGGTCTGGAAATGAGGTCAGCCTTCCGTTGTTTACCTTCCTCCCCTGTCTTCTCCTGTCATCCATTCCTCTGTCTCCCTACTATCTCCACCCCCAGCCAACACTTGGTTGTACAGGTGGATCTAATTTGCTCACAAGTGGATTGGGTAATCCTCTGTCTGCCGCCGTGTCGAGATATTGTTTTGATTTGTTTGTTTGTCAGCGAGCGTTTGGCAAAAAATGAGCAGGCTGTGTTTGATTCCTCTCTTGTGATTATTAGAAATGGCTTCACGAGGTCTTTTGTTTTATTGATGTTTCCTGTGCTGCACTTGTAGAAGTGTGTGTATCTATGTGTGTTTGTCTAGACATGAGCTTGTGCCTGTTTGAGTCAGTGGGTTCCTGTCTTGTCTTTAAGTAGGTTAAAAAAGATCAATAGCGACCGCAGGAAGCACTTGCAGAGGAGTGTGGTGGAGCTGCCCCCCCCCCACATATCCCTCTACACCCATCCACAATCTAAGCAGAAGGCAGCTCACTGTGCTGTATCGACTGTGACTTTATTATTGAATTGCAATATATTCAGAGCATATAACTGGCTTGCATATTAACACCAGAGTAGATTTCTAGGTCATACAGCGCTTGCTGAATTGTAGACCTGTGAGATTAGACAAAGTTTTCCACAGTATTTTAAGATGTTTCACCTTTCACAGTTTTGTATTCTTCAGATTTATTCTTCTGTACTCCACTTATACATTTCAGCTTTTGCATTTTCATTAGACAGATACAGTTTTGCAGTATTACCTTTCAAACTTATTCAAAAGAAGAACTTGCTGAAGAATCCTTTTTTTGACCTCTGCCTTCTCCACTGAGATTATCCCAGACAGCATTTGCTCATTCTAACCTGCCTGGAGTCATCAAAGCAGCCCTTGATCTTGTCCAGTTTTGGAGAAAAAAAAAATAAGGCAAAGAAAAAAGAAAAGATATCAAAGAGTGTCAAAGGAAACTGAGGTTCCGGAAATTGAAGAGCAATCCAATTTGGAGGTCTTTGTCACTGTTGGGGCACAAAGTGTTTTTGTACATTTATTGAGCAAAGCGTTTGTTTTTGGGGTGGGGTGAAATAACACTTTTTTTTTTTTTAAATAGCCACAACCCATCTCTGCCAAAACCTCAGATGGATAGAAAAAATGGCCAAAAGTTTGACCCCCTCTCTGGATTCTGTAATCTATAATATATCAGGTTTGTTCTCTACACCGGTTTAGCTTTTCTGAACATTGGCTGTTGTTATTTATTCGAAATAGCAAAGTCAGTCTAGTTGCTGAAAATAAAAAAAGTGGTCATAAGAGAGTGAAGACAGTGGAATTATTATCGTTCATTATTGTGTTTCAGGTGCATATTAAAGGATGTAACTTTACTCTTTTTTATCCTATATGACTGACTGACCACCTGCTTTTGTTGCCCATTAGGCAGTGCTGTGCTACATCATTTCCACTTTGCAATTTTCTCTCACTTGACTAGTTCATGCAAGGTTTTGACAGACTAAAGAGCAAACGGCGATGATCTAATCGGTTAAAAAGGACACCGACTAGAGTGATGTTAGCGCCTCACTGCACAACCTGCCCATTTGTTGAGCTTTATTCCAGTCTAGTCAGTTACTGGTAAAGGAGACTCCAGTTACATGACCCATATTTAAAAGCATCATGCTGAAAAAAAACACTCAGCAGTCACGAGCTGTAATTAGAAGAGAGCTAGCGGAGCCACCGAAGCATTTAGGACTATGTCAACCTTCCTCATCGCAGTAGTGCAAAAAAAAGCGTTTGAAACTCAAAATTCAGCTTATCTGACCTTGTGACTAAAACCTGTCAGTGACTGTTGTACACAGCAGTCCATTGTGAAGTTGTGTAGTTATTTTTATGGTCAGTTGGTTCTCGTATTGATCCGTCCAACTCGAAGCGCTCCAATCAAGACTCGGATTGATTAGATCAATATGAAGTGACACTCATGCTTCCATCAGGACCTAACCTGCTCTTCGTTTGGAGAGCATTAGTCTGTGAAACGGCATCGCAGTCTTACTCACAGACTACTGAGATCTTCTTTGTGCATCCCCTGTGCACTCTTGCAGTAATTGTTCAACCCACAAGGTCACATATGCACACTCACACACACACAGACACACAAAGATGGAGACTGCAGGTGATGGCTTGGCGAGTAGAGAATTTCCAACTTGAGATGCATTTTTAACACATTTTTTATTAACAGTTTTACTTAAACATTAATGCAACCCACAACTGTGAGCACTCCATTTTTATTCTTTTTTTTACAAGAATCAAAAAGGGTAACTCTGTCAACTCAGTGAGAGCATTATTATGCAGCTTTCCTAAAAGCCTGTCAAGTGCTCGGCAGTAGTTAAAACTGAAAGGCTGAAACGTGCTTTACAGTCAGGTACTTGCTTTATAAGAGGCGGTGTGACACCGTAGACCAGTGCAGACCATGCCAAATGTCCATGGAGTTCAGATATATGACTACTTAGTTTTTGTGGGATAAAAAATTAAAAGAAGCTATACGTACCTCTTAGGTCTTGAGAACTGGCTTGTAATGACTATGGCAAATTGTTTTTTGTTGAATGTATTACATGCTCAGAAAGCCAGTAAGTGGCTGTTTTTTTTTTTTTTAGAAATACTGAAATAGATTGATTTGTGCTCTGTTGCGGGATGAAAAATCAGAAAGACACTTGATTCTTCTATAACAAATCATGTTATTTTTCTGCCTCTATTGTGTGTGATTTTCACAGGGGCTGTGGGGTCGCCTCTTCCAAGTGTGGATGTTCGGATTGTGATGAGTAACACAACCAACACAACTATCGCAGTGGGCACTCACAAAGAGACTCAGGTAACTGATGAATGAGCGATCGAGATATCAAAACATTGTATCTTCAGGCAGTGGAAGTTAAACAGGAATACCTTAAATGAAGCAATACAGGGATTTTAATGCATTTTCCTGAATTAACTGTGGCTTCTGACCCTGTTCCCAGCTAAATGCCCTACGGACTAGACAAGAGGAGATTAACTGAGATGTGTTTAAACAAAAAAAAAGTTTTGAGTAATGGAATCGAGCATTCAAAGGCAGGTCTTGATTCCAAAGCTATCCTGCAGAAATGACTCTGAAGGTGATGTACATGCCAGCGGTAAAGAGTACAAAGCCCTTGTGTCCTTCCCAGTAGTCCGTCAAGGAGAATAAAACGGCGTTTATGCCATGTACTTTGAGCATAGACACCCAGTGTACAAAAGGTAGCAGAACCCTGTTCACAGAAGCTATCAGTCAGATGGTCTCTAAATGTAAACTGCTCGTGAAGTTTTATCCTGTCTTTGTGGATTTCACAAACCTAAACTACATGCAGACACAATCGATTCAGCCCTTTTTCCCTGCTATTCTTGTCTAGAGCTTGCTTCATATCGGCCAATCCTTTGGCAAATGACCTGAAGAACAACAACCATGCAACAAATGTATTCTTTGGTAGAAACATTCACCTAACTACTTTGATGTGTATAGCGGTTTAAGCTACATTGCATTGTGATTTACTCAAATCATTATGTCTCCTTTTAACATCTCTCCTCTTTTCTGAATTGTACTAATTTCTGTGAAAGAGCCATTGACTAAAAACTAATTGGAACTGTAGACTTTTGTTGCTATTTTTGAACAATCAGATCCAGACACAACACAGCCAAACCAGAGCTTTGTGTCTGAACTACAAACCAATGCAAACACACTGGAAGTGCTGAAGAAATGCTTGTTTGAGAAAAACAGACACACAGCTTGACAACAGTCAGACCTAGCTTCACAACAGAGTTAGCCCCACCCGTGACTCTGATTAGCCAAGATCTCCCACGGTGCTCGTTTGGGCTGATTTGTGTTTTCAACTATTGCTCAGTGAGCCTGGCATTGATGAGCCGCTGTTCAGTGTCGGAGAAATCAATCAGCTGGGTTCATCCTTCCTCATTTTCATTGTGCTCAGGTCTGTCTGTTCCATCCAGTCTCCTCTGTGTTTGAACGTGCTGCAGGTATGCCCAGGTCTCGATGGAAAAGAAGGTGAGCTTCTGGTTCGAGGCCCATCAGTCTTTAAAGAATACTGGAACAAGCCTCAGGAGACCAGAGAGTCGTTCACTGATGATGGCTGGTTCAAAACAGGTACCAAACCCCTGTCTTCTTCTTCTTCTTCTTCTTCTTCTTCTTCCCCTCTCTGATGGTGTGACCTGTTGCTCAGCGATGGTCGCGCATGCACGTTCACGCACTTCCTGCAAAGTGAGTGACTCTTTCAAAAACTGCAGCTGTATGATTGGTGCTGTCAGAGCAAATTACAGGAGTAGAGAACATGTGTCGTGGAATTTTTCACCCCTGTTACACACTGCACTTTTGGACTTTTTTTTTCTAATTTTACCACTTAAAAACCAGGAGTGCAATCCAGGTAGTAAACCCAGACGTGCACACGAACACAGCGGGCACTGAACTGGGTTCGCCAGTCGACTGTGAGGGAGTGATAAATGGACTATGTGTGTTTTTGGTGCTGCAGGGCATTTTTCCTCCCTAAGTGGTTGTGACTGCTCTGGGTCTTCAGGAAAAGTGGTGCTCTCTCCTTCTGCCTCCCTATTTTTCTTTAGCGTGTGTGTGTGTGTATGTGTGTGTGTGTGTGTGTGTGCGTGTGTGAGAGTGTGTGTGTGTGTGGTAGCACAAAAAGACGCTGTCATCAGAGGCTTTCACTCCCCGCAGCCCAGCACTTCTCTCGTTGACCCCCCCAAAGGAACTCGCTTAACTGCGAAGCCACTTGGAGCCAGGCATTAAGTCGGCTGGGGGGGGGGGGGGGGTTGAGGTATGCACAGGGGGGAGCGCAGACATGATGAAATGGGAGTGAGGCCGTATTGAGCTTGGAGACGTGGTGGTGCTGGAGAAGTTAGGAGGAGTTCTAAAGGGGTCGGCTGCAAAGGCAAAGGACGGATGTCAGACAGGGATGGGGGGGGGGGGCTGCGGTGGTGGGCCCAGCGAGGAGGGCTGGAGCGATGGAGAGTAAAGCCGGTCGAGGCAGTGGGAGAGCAGGGCAGACCGGCTTTAATTGGCTTTGCAGGCTGGAAGGACAGAGATCCAGAGCACAGCATGTTGCTGTCACACTCCATTACAGCCACTGGCCACATTATGAGAGCCCATGCAATCAGCTCCCCACAGACCCGTCCCTCCAGCCTCACACACACGTGCCGAGGACTTCTCTGTAGGAAGTTATCAAACAGGTTGCTCTCCCCCACCCAGCTGCCCGAGCTCCCTGATGCCAGCTTTAACACACACACATACACAGATTTGTAATTTAGTTATTCAGGGGTCCAGACCTTTTTGTTCTTTAGCCTTGATAAAGGCGGACGGCAAAAATCTTTTCAGTTCTAAACCCTTGTCCTTTTCCTCATCCCCTTCTATGATTAAAACATGAGCAACGGAGTTTGAAATGTGCGCATTGATTGAATACCACATTTCAACGCAGAATGCATAAAAACACTACAATCAGACTCTATATTGTACAAACCTCAGGCAATGTTCATTTAAATGTGGAAAAAAGGGACAAGCAGTCTGTGGAGGAGATTAAGAGCATGCATGACAATGAATGGGAGATCTCTGGCTCTGACACATTGACTAAGACTGATGTTGTTACTAAAGCAAATGTTTTAATTTTGAACTCTTGGAGAAGAAAAAGAAAGTTGAAGAATTAAATCAACCGTCTAAAAGTTCCAGTTGCTTCTTTTCCGCAGTAACTGCCACTTTTGATTATGAAAATATGTGGAGCCATCTGCCAAACAGCAAAGCAGCCATCATACATATTTTCTAATAAAATGGAATGTAATCATTTCAAGTTATGAGTGAAACATGTATGTCTATCAGTTAAATCACCATTAATCACCAGCTGCCTTTTTTAGGCACACAGAAAATGTCATTTGATTAAAAGGAAGACTGTGAAATGTTACTTGACGGTGCTGGAAAAGGAAATGTATTTGCTTGCCGTCGAGTGGAGACAGGAGCGCCATGTTAGTTATTCATGTCCTCGCAGTCGGTGTGGATATCTGAGGGGGCGATAAATATTAGACGAACTCTGGATCGTCTCTGTAGCTTCCTAACTCCCTTCACACCTCTCCCTGTTTCACACTGCACCTTTCTGTCTAACACCCCATCTTATTGGCACACTGTCTGTTTGACTTGCAAACTCCTGCTTGATCTCTTTTCACCTTTACGCGAAGCTCTGTCTGTTCCACTTTTTATACATCCTCCAGGATTTGACCGTCCGGTCAGAAAGGAAGGATGAATTCTGCTTTTCAGGTTTCTGACTCGGTTGCACTTTTCTCTGCAGTCTTAAGGTGAAATGTTAAAGAAGACATGGCCAGCTTTTTTCAAAGCTTGTTCGTCAGTGTTTTAAAGATAGACACATTTTCAATGATTTGAATGATTTTTTTTTGTCTATTCAGAAGTCCTGGTTTACCTGTTAACACATAATCTATTTTTCAGCATTTTATTATTTTACCACAACAGAAACCACAACAGAAACCAAAAAATGATAAAAACGAGGCGTGGGTACGGGGGGGGGGGAATGATTGTGTGTACATATTTATTATCACACTGCATCTGCACATATTCATTTTTCCTAATAGTTTTTCTATTTAATTTCCACTTCTTAATGTGTCCTGCTCCTTTTAACTCTTTAAGGGGCATGTCCTCATTACACTTTGTGCAAATAACAAAGGAAGATGTCTATCATTTTTTCCCTTTTATTTTTTAAAATCATACACAACTAATTATTTTGTAATCCTTTTTATTAAGCAAACCACAGTATGTTACCCACCTGAATGATCACAAGTTAAAATTGTTAGCATTTGGTCTTTGTATGGGTGGGTAAAAAATCAGATTTATGTGTTCCTGTCAATTGTATGAATGACTGCTCAGTTACAAGGCTCCCTGATGAGCAATAACACAACTTTGATGGATATGCTTTTGAAATATTTGTATTTTTGCCCAGAATTCTGATTAATTCAAATCAGATTTTCCTCCAAATTGAGCACAGATATTAATACGTTTCCCCAAAATCTGCTGCGATTTGAATGCCGACTTTGATAGGCGTTGCCATCCACTGCTACTACGCTGAAGCTGGCAAATAAAATCTGACAAGAAAAGGCAACTAATGGGAAGACTGACAGGTGAACAGGAAGAGAAGACTGGAGACGACCAAGGAAAAGTGAGGAAGCAATGTGAGAGTTTAAATCGATAAGTCCAGTCAGCAGGTGCTGTGTGGGATGATTGGCAGCTCTATAGGGAAGCTGTCACCTGAGAGCTCTCATTCCACTCATCCTCAGAAACATCTCTGAGACCATTGATCCCTTTTTGCTTTTTTTAACTTCACTTTTGTGCTCTGCGGCAGCGGTTGTCCACTGTTAAAAAAAAAAAATTCAAAAATTCAACTTGAGTTGACTAAACAAAGATGCTTTTTCATTTTTTTTTTATTTTTTGGTGGGTGCGATTTACACACGCTAATGCTACAAGCCAACAGCAGCACGGGTCAAACAAACTGAAAGAGCTGCTTCAGATTTACATGACATTGATTTCTACAAACCAAGACAGGTTGGCATTTCTTTTAGGATGGATTGTGGCTTGTGTAGGATTCACATTGTCTTAAGTGAGGTTTTTCAATAATAGAGAGAACTTCAGGCATAAGTGAGTTCCAAAATTTGCATTTTAGTGATGAATAAGGAACCTTGGTTGTAGGAGGCAGCTTGGGGCCTGACTATTAGCCAGACCTTATCTGTGGTCTCTTTTAATTAACTAGGAGAGACTCAGGCTCATGGGTAGAAATGTTAACAAGAGGTTTAATCTATGACATTTTACTACTCTTTCACACTCCTAATGACTTACTTCCTCAAGACCTATTAATCTAAGCCATCTCACTGCGCTAAAATTGGAAATGCATTGGACAAAATATATTTTCTGTCTGCCTTGCCGGCACAGTGTATATATATTCTGAGCATTTGATCTCTTGCTGCAGAAAACAGAAATTCTGTTCATTTTGACATGATGCGAGTGTTTGAAATGATTGAGTTTAAAACATGTGTGAGGAAACGCGCGTGTCCGTGTTTTCATGCGTGTGACTGACTGAGACGTAACCCCATCTGCAGAGGTGAGCTCCAAGTCCGCAGGGCACCTTCTCTGCCAACAGACGAGCAGAAGTGTGGCTTAATGTCCTGCAGAGGCGTCACCAGTCATTTGTGACTTGTACTTTCCTCTCCCAGCTGTGCTCTCCTCTTCCCGCCATCATCCTTTTCCTATTCTTCCAATGTCATATTTCACCCCAAGTCACATTGTGTCCTAACTCCAATGTCAGAGCTCCCAGTGGGATTCTTTCAACATTCAACCCCCCCCCCCTCCTTCCAGAACTTTGTTCATATCAGCCCTCGCTATAACATTTACTGCTGAGCTGTCAACACACGGTGGTCCTTGTTTTATTAACACCACTTGCAGGTGAATCTGGTTAAACCCTGCTCGTGTCAGCCGCCGCACTCCGGGTTTTCTTTTAGCAAACTGTTAAAGCAGCTGTCAGTGTTTTTCTGCCAGAACTTTTCTTTTTTTTTTTTTTTTAAACCTATAGATTTACGTCACTCGTCATTTATTCCTCCGTCCCAGTTCAAAGCAAAGACAGAAGAAGAAAAAAAAAAGTCAGTGCTCATAATTTCGAGTGAAAAGTTTCCCCGATGAACACAGTGGATCTCAGACAAACAACAATCCTCCAGTTTAGGCTGATATCTGCTTTCAGAACGGCAACCCAGCAATGAGTATAATCAGAAAAATTAATATAAAGCAATTCGAGGTCTTTTAATTGCATTATATTAAACAAATTAGATCACTCATCCAACTGCAAAGTGGCTTCTTGTACGACATTAATTACTAAGAAAGGAGCTGTGACAAAAGTTAAGGATGATAAATTGTGTCAGTGGTGGGATTTTACTGCTTGGCTGTCTGTTATTTATCCTCATTAACACTTTCATCTAAGCATCAAGGCCTTAATGGGAAACATTAATATTCATACATGCTAAGTGTTTACATTCACTCTAAAAAGAGGCATGATTCACATTTAAGACCTCTCTCATCTTTGCTCCGTTAAGGCTGGCATTGTCAAGGTGATGGAGAGTACTCAACTCTAACCCTCACTGGGAGAGGTTAGGCAGTG